ACACGAAATTATACTCAAAAATTTCTGTATCAATAAGTCAGATCTTTAAATGTATTATTTTTATTTTTAGAACAAAATAAATAACCTAAACTTGTCTAAATGTTCAGTTTCATCCCTGCATTACGCATCATTAGAAAAATTCGATTCAATAAATTACAACATCAAAGTCAGAGGGTTAGGCTTGCACTTGCCTATTGCACCAAAAAGTAGATCCATATTATATCTGTACTATCTACCTAGTTTAAGAGTTTAAGTGAAGTTTTAAGTGCTACTATAACATAAGTTTTGATTGAAAAACACCATACGCATAGTCCATGTCGATTTTGTAATATTATAATGAATGGTAAATGTTGACCATCTAAGATAAATCAAAGTATGTAACAAGAGTTCTCATTGGTCGAGAGGCCACGCTGCACTGTCATGTCAGCCAATCGACGTTCGTGTTTCAATGGAGCAAGTGACGATTGCTAAGATACATTGATAAATATCAAGAACCGTTATGTAGGAGGACGTGTTTGTTTGTAAAGAGTATAAAATTAGGTTAAAGTTTAAAACGGTGTGATTTTCTTTTGTCTTACAAAGACCTAGATTTGACAATAAGGTTATAAACGAGTATTGTCGCGTCGTTGTTCCTTGTTTGTTTACTTTTCAGATCCCTATCAAACGCCCCTATCTGCTATCTCTCTCCCCCCCCCCTCTCTCTAACGATGTACTGATTAAACAGATTGTGGTTGACGACTTTTCTACTTAAGATTGCCTGTGGTTATTTTATCAATCCCATAACCTTTCTATCGTTTATCAAAATAATTAATTAATCTGTTTTGTATTTTATTTCCTTTAAACCAACCCCTATTTACCATCTGTATTTTATAGAATAAAATGTTTGTTTATAAAGTTTGACTGGCCACAAAATTTTGTACCTATTTTATTTTGTATAAAGTAACAGATACTTTTTGATGATTATATATACAGTATATATATATATCAATAAGTGCTGCGTGCTGTAATGAATGCTTTTTATTATCAAAATAAGTAATCAATTATAAATTTTTGATAATACATGGGTCATTGAATAGGTACCATAATGTCATGTAGTTTCCTATTTGTAACTTGCAAATAATAATAATTGATAGTTAACTCTGGAAAATGAAAAATAGTGAACGCATTCATAAACCTGTTGTCAAAACAGCAACGCAGGTGTAAGGGTTTATTGTTTCAGAGGCTAGGGTGTTTCAAGGACAAAGTGTTGGGCCTCCCGGCTTAGGGGGGAGGGGTGGTGGTTAGAGGGGGAGGAAACTGGTTTTGGCTATTTATTGATTAGTTCACCGACCCTTCTAGACAACAAAATTGAGTGACAATGGCAGTGTTAAATCACCATGTTCTGTATTTAATTTGTTGTTTACTTTGTTTGTTATTCTATTAATTTTAGTGTTTTGTTCTATTTCCTCCTGGCCCCTTGCAAATTGTATTATCAATGCTAAATAATTGTGGTCAATTCAAATTATATTTTTGATTATTCAAATCTCCTACACAAAAAGACAAAAGTCAAACCAGGCAAGGAAAAAACCTGCTATTGTAATCCCCGTACCCAGCCATTTGGGAAGTGGTGAAAGTCTAGTCTAAATATAGCTCAAAGGTCTCACCCTTCCCTTCCCCTACTCAATGTTACTATTCCGCTCATTTCGAGGTCATTGCACAACGCCTGCCTCCCGTCTTTTGTTTTGCCTTTATAGTGTTTCTATTCTGACTTTTATAAACATAAATTTATTGCTTACGTAGTTCAGTAGTGAAATTTTCTATTGTGAAACAATAGGCCTACTTTAAAACAAAATCACTACCAGTCATGTCGAGTCATGTCATTCTATTCTGTGTCAAGTCAGTATACCATTGCCATTGCCAGTCAGTCGCCGGCGACTGCTTTGAGTTGACCTATTCTGTCGTGACAGCTATAAAAATAGGTTATGACAACTACCTCTTGCTTATTTCTATATTGTACTTTACTCAAACTCAAAATCTCGAATACTCGCCCATTTTGTGTTAATAGTATAAATAAAATTGGATCCATTAAAACCGAATCCAGCCCAAGATCCGATTTTTTGTGGATACGATCGGGCGTCGGTTCTAGCTCAGATCCGGCGGATCCGGTAGTCCGATATCCGGATCCGACCATCACTAAAATAGACAGTAAACACTGATAATCAACTTTTTTGGTTCGTGCTGATTTAAGAATGAACCAGAAGTATTGAAAGCCAACAAATATAAATGTGAAAACTAAGTAACAATACTACCTACGTCATAAAATAAACTCTATTTTATTTAATACAGGTCAATAATAATAAACTTAAAATTGCTTAATTTAAGCAATTAAATTTAATGACATCTTGGTGAAGCTGATGGAACAGCTGGGATTGGACATCCCAGAGTACTCATGTCTCAACAATAATTTTTAATTTAAATTAATTTTTAATTTTTTTTTATATAATTGGATTGCTTTATTGATATATAGGCTTATTCTAATTGTTAGTGAAGGGTGAATTTCCTTAGGCCAACCATAAAATTAGCAATGTCCATTAATGAGGTTAGGTCAGCAACTATCCTCTTGTTCATAATTTTATTTGGTACATTTTTTACTTTAACTTTTTTTAAGGTAAACGATCCATTACAGAAACACATGTTGTATTTAATTTTTGAAGAAAATCATGCCGTACTGCATCGAATCGAATCGCATCGATGCATCGAATCGAAAAAAATATGCTGCATCGCACACCCCTAGAAGATATATAACTATTTTTCATATAACTAGTGAGAAACTGTCTTTATATAGGAAGTTCGTTTTTACTCTCTTAGGGAAAAAAACTTACAGAGTATTTGTAGGCCAAGATGTACATACTGTAATTTTTTTTAAAATTTATAGCTTAATGAGTTAACCAAGACAGTTGATGCAATTTCAAATAAATACAAAAACTAACAAATGACAGATAAATACTTATATAAGCCTATTTATAAATTAGAGGAAACTTTATTAAATCTCATGCTTTAGTCAAATTCAAACATTTACAGTAGGCCTATTTTAAAATAAACACTTAGTTCCATATTTTTGCAATTGTTTTTTGCAATTAATAATAAACTTTTAACACCAAAATATATATTGTGTTTTTTTATGGTATAACAGTTTATAATATTATTAGTGGAAGAAACTGTGCAAAAAGATAGGTATCGGAAGTATCGGTATCGATAGGTATCGAGAGTACTTTGGTGGTATCAGTATCGGTATCGACAATTTTTGGTATCGGCCCATCTCTAGTTTTAAACCCTTCTAAGTGTTGTTATTGAATTAATTTAAAGAAAGACTAGCTGCTTGCCCGTTCTACGTACGGGAATCTTGTGGTAAGTTGAAACCTTATATTCAGAACAAGAGTTGGTTTGCATATTTAGTGTGCATTTTTCCAGATATGCTGGCAAAACTATTACCGTATAGGAATACATATAAACCTTCGCAACTACAATATCTGACAGTTTCAAAGCCAAAACTAAATGACTGTGATAATGGAATGTTCTAGGGAAAACCTGAGGCTAGGCTTCAGGGACATCAACATTTCCATTTTTACAGGCAGCCTTACAGGCAGCCAGGCTGCCTTCAAAGTGCTTAACTCCTACGAATTTAATTCCAAGGTGGTCTGGGACTGCCTCTCTGCAGTATGCGACCTGGACAGGCGCAACAAGGTTACATTTTATTGGGTTCCTGGGCTCTCAGGGATAGAAGGGAACGAGGTGGCTGACAGGCTAGCAAATGTCGCGTCAGCCTCAGACTTTGTGGGACCACAGCCTTTCTGTGGAATCTCTCGTGGGCATGCATGTCACTCAGTCATGTCATGGGCTCAGGAGGAACACAGGAAAAGATGGGTTAGGCTTCAGTACCACAGGGTAAGTTAGCTCACCCTCTTCTCCCCTTCCCAGACGGTCGCCTCCAATGCTCTTCGTTTAGACAGGAGGCAACTCAGACAGATCACAGAAATGGTCACTGGCCATGGCTTCCTGAAATTGCACCTGCATTTCTTGAGGATCCACAATGGAGACTCTGCGTGTAGGAAATGTGGGCAATCAGAGGAGACTGCTGATCACATACTCTACGACTGCAGTACTCTTGGTGCAGTGACAAGGGGCAGACACCTTCCTCAGGAGGAGCTCATAGACAGGATGCTGAAGTTCATTATGCAACTCAGGTTTGACGGACTCTAAAGTACCATGTGGGGAGCGCAAAAAGCCCATCAGTGGCTGATGTGCAACAGGACAAGGTCCGCCCCTACATAATCAATCAATCAATCATCGTCTCCTGCGGTCACGGAAATGTCATCTTCATGCGAGATGGCGGCAAATTGAAAATTCCCGGTAAAATATGAAATTCACGCATCATTTGCGGTTTTCCAGGTTGGTGGACACCCTGTATTAATTAATTGAGTTAGCCTACTACAATACGTTTATACAAGCTTGTTCTTGCTTTCCACTATATCTTGGTGAAATCGTGAACATATTCCATAGTCTGGTATGATCGAGAACATCATTTGCGCCTTGTGGATACGGCAAATTCTGCGGACAAGGCGACATAGAGAACAAGATCCACCGTCAAGGCAAAATCCTTAACATTTTTCAAAAGCACAGAAAAATTGTAAACATCATCTGCGATTTCGGCGTAATTGAGAATGTCTTCCACGATCGTGTTTAAACTGTGTATGTCACCCGCAACTACGACAAAATTGTACATTTTTAAATGCGATTCTTCACAGAGGCTTAATCACAAAAATAAAAGCTCGGCTCAAAATTATTTCCGGCTCATACCGAAACCTCGGGCCAACTTTTGACCCGACCCGCAAAACCCAATCAGCAACAGTGAGTGCTACATACATATCTACTAGCCTGAACAAACTTGTATGTTGTCTTCTTCTAAGAAAGCCTAGTTGTAATTCGCAAACATGTTAGAGGGAAGGAGAGCTTCAACTTACCGAGGGGTCTCTTGAGGTACTTAGGATCCACACTCTGCTCCAGCTGTAGGACAGCACATGCCAGTTCCTTTACTCTTGTCCTCTGCTCCACGTTGGTGTCCATCACAAGGTCTCTGAAGCTGGCCTCAGAACTGGGAGTGGAAGGCCTACTCGTCTCATCTTCCTCCACTGCCTTGCCATTCATCAGTTCAACCTTTACATACATAACTAGGTAAAAACTACCTCAAAAATGTGAATATCAATATTACTTACTGAAACATGTAATAATAGCATATGGAAACTAGGACCTGGAAACAAAATCTATTGATAAAACTCTTTTTTTGTACCAGCATTTGTGTTGATTCCTTTCACTAAAGATGACTTCAAAAAGAAATAAAAATAGTACCCGGTCAAGACTATTTTGGAACCTTGTTAAATAAAATAGTTTTTGTGTGTTATAGTATTTCAGTAAATAGGCTATATAATATTTTGGTAATTTTATCTGGACTGGACATAAAAACTTGCATCTCAATGAAATTTAGTAAAGAATTAAAATAATCAAAATTTATGTCTTAGAAAGGTACTGTATCTATAACCTAACTACAAAACAAAAAGTTACTTGAGAGAATTATATATATAAATTCAAACGTACAAATTACTCCCCAATGAATATCTTACAGTGTTTTTGCTGTTGCCTCCCCACGTAAGTTTGTCACATTGTTGATCGTATGCTTTATTTACAATTGCTTCCCTCCACGCTTCTCTGTCCTTAACCTGTAAATAGAATTATGTCAACAACTTCATATAAAAACACTGAGACGTTGTCTATAGTTTAAAAGATCAGTTTTTCAATTTTTTTGTTGCAGAGATTGCCCAGTTTATTTTTTACTTATTGCCGACCGCAGGAGATATCCAGGATTTTGTAGTAATCGTGGAAGACTGTGATGAATCAAGACTCAAGAATTTATTTGCGATTAGATTACACAGTTACGAAAGGCTTCGTCAACATATCATTTTTTATTTTATTTATCATTTTTTGATTTAAGTCAAATTAAATCAGCATTACAATACATGATTTAAAAATTAATCAGTTGAAAAAAATGCCTTATCTTTAAGCAACTTACAAACAGTGGTACAAAATTTCTTAAATGGTAACATTTATCTAAAGGCAATTTGTTGTAAAATAAAATCTGATGGTAACTATGTCTATTGAAATATTTTTGCAATCTAATACTAGGCCTAGCTATGTGGTCTCTTTGCCTTGTGTTATAGGAATGGACAGAAGAGATTGTATTAAACTTTTCAATATTCTTCTTAACAAAACAAAGATTGTGAAAGATAAACTAGGGAGAGTAAGTATACCAAGACTAGGGAAAAGGTTACGGCATGAGGCATCTGCATCTAAACCAAACATTGCTCTTATAACCTTTTTTTGCCTAACAAAGGCGGTTTTGGCCGCAGCTGAATTTTCCCATAATCTGACACCGTAGTTGAGATGGGGTATGATCCTGAGATTGTGGGAGAAGATGGTCATGTTTCTGTTACCACTGAGAGATATTCTATTCAGGATTTTACCACAACCACAGAAGACAGTAAAGATGTCTACGCATTGCGGGAGTTGATCATGCTATTACCTTGAGGTGACTCGATTGAAAATCTCCTTGCACACTCCTCTAGTTGTAACAAAATTTTCTTTTTTTAATACTTGTTTGTAAGAGCTTCATTTACTTTTGATATGGTATTTATTAGAGGTGTGCCGATAGTGAAATTTAATTTCGGATCGAATCTTATTGGGAGGTTCGGATTCGGATATTTTCGGAGTCGGATAGTTTGGCGCGGCTAATAATAAGCTGCATATGCATTTTTAACCTATAAAACACTGTAAAGCTGTGTAAATAAACTTAAATGACGATTTCGAATTATAGAATTTAAATTAGCCACGTCCACAGTTTTTTCTCTCTTGAAAATCACAATTCACAACATCTATTTTCAAAAGTTGGTTGCTTGAATTAAGTACGGTACACTAGCAGCTGAAATCTTCCCACAACACTTTAGCTCAGCGGGACTGATGTCAAACGTTTGGGCTTGTTTACTTGAGGTTATGTTTTATGTTGTTTGCTGGTTCTCGCAAGACAAGGAGTTCTATCTCAAGTTTATTTTCACATTGTATTTCCTAACGTTTTTGGAACGGATTATTGGCCTTAAGTGGCATTCTGCGGGTTTGCCAAGTTTAGAAAACATCACTAATGCACTAAGCTGGGCTCTAGATTTGATGTAGTGGCAAGTTAATTAGGGCAATTAGGCTTTATAACTCTGTAAAAGGTGTCTACCCTTGAATTTATAAATTTCATTCTACACTTATTCACTGCCAAACATAATTCAGTAGAACCTTGATGAACAGAGAATTACACTAGCCTACATAACTTCATTACCCCAAGTAAAATATCAAGATAATTTTTAAAATTGTATTTGAATAGTATAATCTTAGTTTGTTAAAAATCAATTGTATATTCAACAATTATTGCAGTCCATTATGGTTATGAAGTATGGTCCCAAATTATTGTTTTTGATTTTGAAACATCACAGTTCATTTGAAAAAATTAAAGTTGAAGCAGCCCAATGTCAAGTCATGCTTGTGCAATAGTTTTTTTACAAGCTTTCTCCAGATCACTGGGGAGGGTCTGGTCTGATAAGCCGTCTATTGTCCACCCCCAAGGCGGTTCAACCCCCTCATTAGTGCCGCTTGGCTGCACTCAGTGGGGAACCCAATACCACAAATCAATCTTTTAAATGAATAAAAATATTTGGTAATAATTGTTTTATTGATATTCACCTTGAAATTTCAATAAATTTGGTGTAAAATTTGACAAAAATCGGCCAATTTATTAATATAGTACCAATAAAGTACATTGGTAATTAAATAATAAGTAAAAATTAACAGATTTTCGTCAAGTTTTACCCCCTGCTGTGCGCTATGTCACAAAAGCTGATAATGACATGGGTGATTAGTAACCATGGCAACTAGGCAACTTGTTGAATGCGTGATGAAGGGAAACCTAAGAAATAGAAGAACAAAGAGAAAGTATAATGGTTGTTATCTTTATACCCTTTTAACAATTGCTGTTATATCTTTATGTAAGATTTTATGATTTTTTTTATAGGTTTATAAAATAAATCTTTTTAACCATGGGAATAGGCTATCGATTTATAATTTATCATTTTATCAACGTGCTTCTCTTCTGAAACAGCAATACCGGATGCATAATAAAGGTCAATGACCTAAAATATAATGATTGTGCAATATTGTATTTTGATGTTGAAATTCAAATCATGACAAAAGTTTGTATATTTCCCCTGGTCCCTATCATTAATCATTATCTATATAATTAATACGCTACATGAAACTTTGTCGGTTGAACTCCTCCGCCATTTCTTAACCTATTTTATCCATTGACGTCTCATTGGAAAGAGCGTGTCGCGTAGATTTGCAAACTGACCTTACATTTGTGAAAAAGTCCCTTGGGATCTGCCCCAGTGGCTTTTAAAGTTCCCATGTTATCATTATGAAGAACATAATTGTTTACATTTTGATCAGCTGTATAATTTAATTGCTGTTATTTATTTTTCAATTCAATGAAACTCATTCGGTAAATTTACTAATTTTGTTGAAATTAAATATTTACTATTTCAATTTACATTCGTACATATTACAATGTAAATACCCCCGCCGCAGCAAACCTGCAGACTAAGCAAATTTCCATTTGACTGATTTGATTTACACTGAAATGTCTACTTAAAAATATAACATTTATTCCCGATTTAAATAGAAGTACCTGGGGACCGAGCTTTACTCGGGGGAAATCATTAGTCCACTCTGAAAGCAGTCTTAGTACTGTATTGGAGACACATAGATCCATTCCCAAACTCCACACGGCTTGCCTTTACTACGTCCTACACCATTTCCTACGTCATGGACCTGTTTCCCTCCATTTCCATAGCACTTTAGGATTGTAGATAAATTAATCTAATCGTTATTAACAGTTCCCACACTCCGGACAGCTCGTCTTTACTACGTCCTACACCATTTCCTACGTCATTGACCTGTTTCCCTCCCTTCCCATAGCATTTCAGAATTGCAGATACCTTAATCTAATCGTCATAAACAGTTCCCACACTACGGACAGCTCGCCTTGACTACTTCCTTCGCCACTTCCTACGTCGCGGACCTGTTTTCCTCCCTTCCCATAGCATTTTAGGATTATAGATACCTTAATCTAATCGTCATAAACAGTTCCCACACTCCGGACAGCTCGCCTTTGACTACATCCTTCACCACTTCCTACGTCGCGGACCCGTTTTCCTCCCTCCCATAGCATTTTAGGACTGTAGAAACCTTAATCTAATCGCATAAACAGTTCCCACACTCCGGACTACTCGCCTTGACTACTTCCTTCACCACTTCCTACGTCGCGGACCTGTTTTCCTCCCTTTCCATAGCATTTTTGGATTGCAAATACTTTAATCTAATCATCATAAACAGTTCCAACACTCCGGCTACTCGCCTTGACTACTTCCTTCACCACTTCCTACGTCGCGGACCTGTTTTCCTCCCTTTCCATAGCATTTTTGGATTGCAAATACCTTAATCCAATCATCATAAACAGTTCCCACGCTCCAGACAACTCACCTTGACTACTTCCTTTACCACTTCCTTCGTCACGGACCTGTTTCCCTCCCTTCCCATAGCATTTTAGGATTGCCCATACCCTTATCTAATCGTCATAAACAGTTCCCACGCTCCGGACTACTCGCCTTGACTACTTCCTTCACCACTTCCTACGTCGCGGACCTGTTTTCCTCCCTTCCCATAGCATTTTAGGATTGTAGAAACCTTAATCTAATCGTCATAAACAGTTCCCACACTCCGGACAGCTCGCCTTGACTACTTCCTTCACCACGTCCTACGTCACGGACCTGTTTCCCTCCCTTCCCATAGCATTTTAGGATTGCCCATACCTTTATCTAATCGTCATAAACAGTTCCCACACTCCGGACAGCTCGCCTTGACTACTTCCTCAACACCTTCCTACGTCGCGGACCTGTTTTCCTTCCTTCCCATAGCATTTTAGGATTGCTGATACCTTAATCTAATCGTCATAAACAGTTCCCACACTCCGGACTACTCGCCTTGACTACTTCCTTCACCACTTCCTACGTCGCGGATCTGTTTCCCTCCCTTCCCATAGCATTTTAGGATTGCAGATACCCTGATCTTATCGTAATAAACAGTCCCCACACTCCGGACTGGTCGCCTTTACTACTTCCTTCATCACTTCCTACGTCACGGACCTGTTTCCCTCCATTCCCATAGCATTTTAGGATTGCCCATACCCTTATCCAATCATCATGAACAGTTCCCACACTCCGGACAGCTCGCCTTGACTTCCTTAACACCTTCCCTCGTCACGGACCTGTTTCCCTCCCTTCCCATAGCATTTTAGGATTGCCCATACCCTTATCTAATCGTCATGAACAGTTCCCACGCTCCGGACTACTCGCCTTGACTATTTCCTTCACCACTTCCTACGTCACGGACCTGTTTCCCTCCCTTCCCATAGCATTTTAGGATTGCCCATACCCTTATCTAATCGTCATAAACAGATCCCAGACTTCTCACTGCTACCCTTGACTACAATCATAGACAATGTATCGAGTAATCTTCAGTATAATCTTTGCTAAATGGTGTTTTTCCTTTTGTACTGTATTTGTAATTTGCTAGTATACTGTGGGTAGTTGGCTTATTATGAACACATGCTACAACTTCAAGTCTTTTGTTTACTTTTTCCTTGTTATTTAATTCAGCCAACAAGGTTACCTAGCAACCCATAAGACTAATGTTAAAAAAATGTGATTTTCAGTTTCATTTTTCTACGTAATTAGATTTTTGTTGGCAGTTCTAACTGCAGTAAACTCGTTTTTAGGCCAGAATTAAACTATTTACAACATTTGAAGAAAATCGTCGGAACCGTTTTCGAGATCTTTGTGCAAGCAAGCATACATACATACATACATACATACAAGCAAACATTGCTCGTATTAGAGTATAGGATTAGTTTACCAAGTACTTAGGTTTGCTGCATAAGGGAGGGTAAAACTGTTTTTTTTTTTTTTTTTTTGTAAAATGTTAATAGTTAGTAAGAAATAAAAACATTTTCCAAATTTGATCAAAATATGTTCATAAACAAGCAAACTACAACAGTTTACTTATTCTCCATAAGAATAACATGGAAATTTTTAATTTACAATTTTTTGGAATTTTCTCCGTAACCATTAGGCGCATAATAACGCTTCAATATACTAAATTATTTTTTTTTTAAGATCTACAAAATGGTTTGGAAATAAATTGCTTTATTTTATGTTTTTTGGGTCAAAAATGGGAAAAACCTATTTTTACCCCATAAAACCCCCCGTAAACCCCCGTTCCAATGGTCCGATCATGCTGGATCGCGAACTCGTTCGAATAAACGTAGGTTTACACGTTTGTACCAAATTTCATCAAAATCGGACCATTTTTGCTTGAGTTATCATGCTAACGGACACACATATATATATATATATAAATATATATATAAATAAATATATATATATATATATATGAATTTATATATATAGGCCTCTAGGGACCTCAAAACGAAAAAAAAATCGGTCCTGCGTCCAGGTCTTACCATGAGTACTACGGTAATAGCTTATTCCCTATATGGGAAATTCGCTAAAAATCGAGAAAGCCTGGACAATTTTATATATTTTACCAAATAAGAAAAATTAGTTGACATAGTACTGTATTTCTTGAGCAATCATTGAAAGAACCGATTTGTTAACCATGGAAACATTGGAAAGTCATAGATCGCTACCAAGTAGGAGAAATAGAGATAAAAATCATACTTCTTTGCAATTGCTCGATTTCAAGCAACATGTACACTAGTATACATTATTAATATACACAATCAATGCTAAATAATCGTGGTTAGTTCTAATTTTATTTTTGATTATTCAAAGTTTCTACACAATAAGACAATCCAAAGTCAAACAACCGGGCAATGAATACCCGAAAAACTATGTATCTTGTCCTGTGATTGGAATTCCACTCGCCAGTACTTTAGGTTTAGGGAAGTAGTGCAAGTCTATATATAGCTTCAAGGTCGTACTCACCCCTTCCCCCCCACGGCCTACTCGAATGATTGTTGCTACCCGGGCTCCTTTCGAGGTCATTGCCCAACCCCTCCCACCCTTCTATTGTGTTGCCTTTCTATTGTTTCTATTCTGACTTTTTTTGGGAAACATTAAATCTATTGTTTACGTAACAGCAAAGAAGTAGGCTAGATTTTTATACTTGAAACTAGTACTGTAAAAAAAAGTATTACGCATAGCGCCCCTAGTATCAGGAGACAAGCACGAGTTGACCATGGTAGTTCTTTTCTGCTTTATGTCTGTTCGTTAAAGCAAAACAGCCGATAACGACTAAACTAGACATCGGTATTGCATCATACGGCTTCTTTGTCGTTTGCTGTTACGTCGTTGGAAACGTAATGCTGTAATTTTGTCTTGGGAAACTAATGATGGTTATGAAGATTTAGTTTTCTGTCCAAAACGTCAAAATATATTGTCTATCCGAAAAAGTCGGATGTATAACGGATAGTGTCGGATATCAAATTTGGGCGTATCCGAACCGAACCAAATCCGACCCGATTTTTCGGATATCCGCACACCTCTAGTATTTATTTAATGTGTTTGGAAATGTTTGAATTTGAATTGGCCAGTTAGAATTCTTCATTGCTGCTTTAAGTTGTTCTTTACTTCATAAACACCCCAAATTACTTTGTGTTGGTAGATACAGACAGGGGTTAATGTAGTAAAACCACTCCATATAGAATATTTGGTCCAATTTATACAATAAATGGTATCGGTATCGAGAATATATATTTCATGTATCGTTATCGAGAATCAATAAATTTTGTATTGATTTCTTATACCAACACAAGTACTGTTTTAAAAATGGTTTACATTCAAAAGTTTATTACTAAAACACCGAGGGGCCAGTAAAGAAATTAGCTCAAATATTCTAATTGGATAAATTTAGTAACAAGTTCATACGATGGGGTTGTGTTGCGGGTGTTTGACTTAGCCTTACCTTTAAGGCTCCCAAACATCCATTATTAATCTTTTCTTCAGTTTCCAAGATGAGATCTCTGAGTATTGATTCTAAGATCTCTTCTGAGGCGGTGCCAGGAGGGAAGTTGAGATTTGCATTATCATACCTTGGATTATTTCTGGCACTCTTTCGGCTTTCATCCACAGGGCACTATCAAACAAAAATCATAAATGAAATTTCTAATCTTCCCCAGTCGATTTGTTAATTAAAAAGTTTAAGAATGAAATGTTACTGTTGAGGATTTTATATTGTGCTATCATTCCATTTGACACAAATATAAAATATCTTTTTCCTACAGTTACCTAACAATGTACATGTTCTCTCACTGATTTGAGAAAGCAAAGTGGCCAATTCGCTCATCAGTGAGACAATGTTAATATTGTCTCACTCACTCCAGATTTGCAACGCGAAGGCACGAAATAGTGAGCGCGTAACATGCAGAAAAGGTCGTACGCGCGCGAAATACGTTGGCAGCACTGGCTGTAAATCAGCTGGTCAGCTGTTGTATTGTTGTATCATTAAATGTAATATTAAAAGTTTACTTCTGTGTAAAAATATGTAACGTTTCTTTACCAATTTATTTGTTTTATGGTAACTGTAGGAAAAATATAAGGTGCAACTCAAGTGCAAAGTGCAATTGCCTCACTCGAGAAACCATTCCTCACTCGCCTACGGCTCGTGAGTAAGTATTTCTCTCGAGTGAGTCAATTGCTCCCTTTGCTCACTAGTTGCACAAATAACTATTCATATTGTTTTTATGTAGCTGATTATTTAATTGTATAATATCAGCTGCTTCATAATGTTTATCCTAATATGTTCACGAAATGAATTATTACAGTGTTAGTATTTGAAAATATTGTTTCAATTATTAATACAGTTGTTATGTATTTGATTGAACCAAAGAATGAAAAACAAAATACCAAAAATATTGCACTCATCACAGACCACAACCAATGACTAAATTTGTTGAATGACATTTTAAAGGAGGGCTTCAAGATCTTCAAAAACTCCAATCACACCATCATTTTTTTTTTTTTTTCTCGTATCTACGCCAGTGGCTTTTTTGTAATGAAGTCAAACATTTTTTAAGGGAAAGTGGTCGAAACCCATTTAAGTTTTGTGGATGTGCCGGTGATTGAACCCATCCCTTCCGCATCGAAGTCCGAGACGCTAACCACTAGGCTAGCAACACACAGAATTTTTTAAGATCCCTCAAACGTTATTTTCAGACAACCACCAACAGATTCAGTCCACCCAAAATTTTCTGACCCGACCAACACACAGCCCTGCTGAAAGCAACACACGTTTTTATCCCTGTAATAGCAGGATGTGCAAACGCCAGTTTTGTAATGCATATGCGTTGCAGGTCTAAAGTGGTCTTTTTTCTCTCTAGGGAGTAAAAATCTTTTTTAGCCCCTAGGGAGTAAAAATCTTTTTTAGCCCCTAGGGAGTAAAAATCAGCTGATGTCAACTCAGTTGTACATTTTGACTGTAAACAATCGCATGTAACAAAAGTATCTATCGATTATAATTTATTGTTGCCTTATTGTAAATAGTTTGACATATTGATAGTATAATGTACTAACACAATCGACGAAACGAATGAAACACTTACTAAACAGCTGCTTCTTTCCATTATCAAATTAAATTGAAACATGTTAGAAGTAGTTTTTTGAGGTTACTTTAAGTGAAAACTATTTAGTTTTGTAACATAATTTGTTCAAATAATGATGCAATATGAGAAAAAATATAGTTCATCACACGGGCAAAAAGTGTCTTTTACACTGACATCAGGTCGAAAAGAGTCACTTTAGGCCCTAGTGATGAAATATATTATTATCAACAACTGTGTAGTCACAGTATGTAGGCATATTTACCAATAGGTGGTATAAGGGCTCATAATATTTCATGGGTAGTTGGGCTTTAGTTAAATATCCTGGACGAAAGGTCACTCTGAGCTGAGTTTAGAACTACAGTATATATTACCAGTGCTGGATTCAGTTTAGACATGGGACACCTGCTGATGCTCTGCAGGATCTTCTCCCTGTCGTCCTCCAGGGCTGCTTGTAGAGCATTCTCTCTCACTCCTCGCTTGTTAAGATGGTTGACCAAGGTGTTAAAGTCAGCCTCATCCTTGATGAAAGCCCAGCAGACTCTTGAATCATTTCTCGAGTGCACAGGACAAATCTTTGGGAAACAGAGCAATTCATTAACTAGTCTTGAGCTTTAAAAACTTAAACAAATACATTATTTATCTATTATTAACTATATATAACTAACATTATTTGTATATTATTAATCAAATTAAATAGTAACTAATTTTAAAATGAGGGATTTGTCGATTCTTGATACGAATTTTTGATACCACTGATACTTGGACTTTGGTATCACAGGGTGTCAACCAGATTTCAAACATTTCGACGTGTTTAGATTATTTATTTTGTACTAAAAATAAAAATAATACATCTAAATGTCTGACTTATTGATACAGACATTGTTTAGTATAATTAATTTCGTGTTGGCAGGACATTCGCGCGCCGGTTGTCTCATGAGTTGATTCTGACATCTTGAAATGTAGATTGTGTTGTGCAATGAGCTGAAGCTAAACAATGTCACCGGCACCGTCGCTGTTTTGAACTAGATAGTTTCTAAGTTGGCTATGAAAATTGTTAACCGAGATTACAAAACTAATACTGTAGCTATAAAGTAAATAAATGTTGAAATAAAATATTTATCCCTGTCGGGTGTCGGTGTCATCGGAATCGACTTTTGGAAATAAAATCTTGGTACCGATACCAATGTCCAAGTGGTAACCAATGGATGGTGGTATCGATGACGATAATCGGCACATCCCTTTTTAGAACTGCATCGTGACCAAATCGATGCATACTGGATCGAATCGGGGTTCGATGCATCGAATTGAAATTTCAATGCATCGCACTCACTGCACACCAGACACCACTACCTATCACTATCACCCAGTGTCAGCTGTCGCTGTCAGTTAAATGGATGACGCAAGTGATGTCTAGGTTGGCGATTATTATTATTTGGCCTAGTATGTCAATATTGAAAGTGGTTGAGGGATTAAATAAAACTCAAACATTTTCCTTTCTTGTTATTTACTTGTCAAATATCAACGAAATCAGCTTAACCTCTACTACTCGACTCGAGTTGCGAGTGTATTTAACTAAGTAGACAAACAAAACAGCTAGGATTCGTAACGGCAACGGCAATTTACCCGCTCTGAACTGACTTAATCCGCACCGATTCATAGCATTCAGTGGTTCAGTGTCAGTATCGGTATCAAACCCAAAACAGGCAAGTATCGAGTATCGACAATACCATTACCATTACCATTACCAACTGGCGATCGTTGACCAGATGTCTGGATTGATCTTGTCAAATAAAATTTACTTTTAAGAATTAATAAAAAATAAACTAATATTTACAGTATTTACACTACATGGCGGCCGGATTCAACTCAAAAGTCCATTGCAGTAGTAAAGTATTCCTCAATGGAATAAAAACACTTCCTACTCAGCCATTGTTTTAGTTTGGTTTTAAAAGGTTCAAGAAGGAGTTCTTTAATGTGAAGGGGCAGTCTATTGTAGAGCTTGTGTGCTAACACTGGAAAGCAGTCCTTGGTCTTTGATAACCTACACCTCGGGACATCCACATTCCTTGCAGAGCGCAGGTTGTAATTGTGGAGTTGGTCTCGTGTAATATGAGGGAGCCTAGGGTCAGTTTTCAAGAGAAGGAGGCAGTCTAGAATGTATTGGCTATGTATCGTGAGAATGCCGAGCTGTTCAAAAAGTGGTCTGGCATGATCTCGTCTACCACTCGAAGATAAAATTCTAACAGCAGTCTTCTGCATAATCAGAGCTCTAGTAGTGTTCGGAGCATGGCCCCATAAGACCAAGCCATAGCTTAAATGGCAATGAAACAAACCAAAATAGGCTAGTTTAAGATAGTCAGACGTCACCTGGGATTTTAGTTTCCTTAAAAGACAATTAACTCGAGATAACTTTTTGCAAATTACATCAATATGCTGGTTCCAGGTAAGTTTCTCATCAATGGTAACACCTTACAGTTTGACTGCACTCACACTAGGCCCATCCAACCTGGCTTCAGGGCGGGTCCACAAGCTGCAGAGCAGCTGCTGAGTTTTCCCCTCATTTAACTGCAGTCCGTTTAGCCTAAACCACTCCTTAGCCTCCCCTAGGCAGAAATTCGACCCCGTTGTTAAATTGGCCATGTTACTACCACGATTAATAATGGTAGTGTCATCTGCATATAATAGGGCATCATAGCTCTCTAGGTTGAAATCATTAATTAAGATGATAAAGAGGCTAGGTCCAAGTGTTGAGCCTTGCGGAACTCCGCTCGTAATCGCAGCCACCCCGGATTTTGCACCTTGAATTGATACCACCTGCTGGCGGCCACTGAAGTAGGACGTAAACATCCGTTGAACAGCCCCCCCAGACCCGTACAAGGAGAGTTTCCTTAGAAGCAATTCATGCGATACGCAGTCGAATGCTTTAGATAAGTCCAATAGTGTTAACAGTACGGACTCTTCGGTTTCAAAGGCATTGTGAATAGTCTCAATAGCAGCCCTCACGGCAGAGATGGTTGAACGTTTCCTACGAAAGCCATGTTGTGAGTTATTCAGCAGATTGTTGGTTTCAAAATGATCAAGAAGCTGCCTATTGATGATAGTCTCGAGCACCTTAGCTAGTATAGGAATGACACTAATAGGCCTATAGCTGTTTAATGATTCAGCATCTCCCTTCTTATACACAGGTACAGTTCGTGATATCTTTAGTTCCTTGGGAAAATGTCCCTGTTCCAAACACAAGTTAAAAACTACAGCCAAAGGGCGGGCAATAGCTCGTATAACAGTCTTCAGGAAGATGGATGACATCCCACATACATCAACACAAGGAGAAGCCTTAAACCTATTTACTATATTTACAATATCATCCGGGGTAACCCTTTTCCATTGGACCCAATCTTGAGGCCTTTCCACAAGTAGGCCTGCTACCTGTGCAGCTGCTTCATTGACCTGAGGTGGGGTATCTGCCACAATACGATTCACAGAGTTCACAAAATGTTGATTGAAAAGATCAGGACTAGCCGAACACTTGAAAGAAGATGACTGGTTTCTATTACAATTGATTATATTCCATGCCGCTTTACAAGGGTTAACCGCATTCTCTATGTATTCTTGATTGGCCACTTTCTTTGCTAAGTTAACAGAGTGCTTATACTGTTTCTTGGTATTTAAATATAGGCTATACAATTTATTATACTCGGTTTGATTATTTGTGACCCTACATAGGTCATGGAGCAACAAAACCCAAGCCTTCAGGGATTTTAATTCCTTGTTCCTTTAATACCTCAATACCGCTGGTATCGAGAGTATTTTGGTATCGAGTATCGGTATCGGCCCACCTCTAAAAAGAATTCAAAATCCATAAAGTCGAGTCAAGATATTGTTTATACAGTAGAACGTCGATTATCCGAATTAATTGGGGATTGGGGGTGTTCGGATAACTGATTTTTTGGATAATCGGTCATTGACGAGAAATGACGGGAATTGACGGGAAATGACGGGAAGGGATAGCGGCCGGCGGCGATTTGCCGATTTTGCGTCAGTGACGTCTGTGGATACTTTACAATAATATAAATTTAATTAATTAACATCCAGATTTATTTTTACAATACAGCAACAAACATGTACAACAGTACTTAGAACTGGACTACAGAATCAGAATGTGTACAGAAAGAAATTTAAAAAAAGTCCAAAATAGATTTTTGCTTTAGTCCAGACACTCGTTTTTTTGCTGCTAAATCTCGCAGTCGTTTTAAAGACATTTACATTTACATTTACATTTTGTTGTCATGAGAGCCGAAGCCCCCTGACTGCTTACCCGGTACCTATCCTTCAGGACATACCCGGGCCCCATGATGTAGGCCGAAGCTTACGCATCAACCTTTAGCACATCATGGGCGGATGACTTAAGGTCATCAGGCTCGCCGGCTGCCGAAGCAGACCCTTCGGAAAGAGGGTTGCCCTTCAATCCTAACCAGGGATTCCGGCTGCTTGTTTAAGCGTCACTCCACCTGGGTTCCACTAGGCAATTGAACAGAATCACATTCTTCTTGCTGCTCTAACCACAGCATTGCAGTCTCTAGGCAGTGAAAGGCTTCATCGTGGGATGGGCCGTTTTCATTAGGGAGGTCGATGTCATAATCCTCTTCTTCATCGTCATCGCCGTTCTCTTGGACGTGAGCTATGATTTCATCGTCCGTCATCACTTCATATCCAGGGTCATCTACATCACATTCAAGCCACTCTTGAATATTGTCTTGATCGCAATCTTCAAATTCTGGAGATTGGTTTATAAGGCCAACCAGTTCTGACACAAATTGGGTCGGGGGCTCTTCAGGTGTAGGAGCAGCCTCAGTTGGGCAAAGCTTATTCCAAGCTTTCTTCAGTGTGGTCTCCTTGACGCAGTCCCAAGCTTCTGCAGCCATATAAACAGCATCCTTCATGTTTATTGCTTTATAGAGCTGAAGAATGGGTTTGTCTTCTTCTTGCCCAAGCAGAACCATCCGTAACAATGCTTTTCTGTAATAACGTTTAAAGCTCTCAATTACCCCTTGGTCCATCGGTTGGAGAACTGAGGTTACATTTGGAGGCAAAAAAACCACCTTGAACTTGCCATCTTCTCTATCGAGGTCCATCGAGGAAGGATGACTTGGAGCATTATCGATGATTAGCAAAACATTTCCAGAGCTCCCAGTTGCGATGTGTTGCTTTTTAACTTCCGGTATAAATACGGTATCATACCATTCGACAAAAATGCTTGTGTCCATCCACGAGTTCTTTTGGCTTTTGTAGGTGAGTGGTAATTTTACAATTCCCTTAAAGCACCTCGGGTTCTTAGATTTCCCAATGATAAGCAAAGGTAGCCTATGAGTTCCAGTTTTATTAGCGCACACCATTGCAGTGATGCGGGACTTGCTTGCCTTAAAACCAGGAGCTGACATCTCTTTCTTAGAAACTAAGGACTTTGTTGGCATTTTCTTCCAATATAGGCCTGTTTCGTCTGCATTATAGACATTGTTATCATCGTAGCCTTCCTCACTGAGCAAACTTGCAAACGAATCTTTGAATTTTTCTC